ATATGCCCAAAGGCGTGGAAAGGGCCCTTTACTTACAATAATTAATCAATGTAATAAGTTACTTGCCTCTCTGAAGCGATGTTGTATAGTTATGCAGTCAACAACAATTGATAACTGAACGACATTCGGTGTTATGACACCCTACTGATGATGATGATGATAAAGACGATGACAATAAAGATAATGATGATGATGATGAAAGATTTATATACAAGCATACAATCATTTTAAATGTCAAAATGCTTGATTTTCATAACTGTTTTCTATAAAACAAAAATGGTAAACTTAAATGACTGTGAAAGACAAGTTGTTGGCTCCGTGTGCATAGTTCTTTGTTTACAGTTCTCACCCTTAGCGTTTGCTGTATGATGGTAGGTCCTGTGTACCCAGGGCCAAGCACTTGACACTTCCTCCACTTCCATAAAACACGTCTTACATTGTTTCTGTGGGTAAGATTTCAATTCTCTGACAAATCATAGTTGGGGTTGGATTTCCTTTACAGAAAGATCCCATAATGCCAATCATGTGACACCGGATCGACTACATATCTACCTTGGCGAGTGAGTGACGTCCACACCACTGAGAAATAAACACCCCGTGACACAAAGTGCCACCATTCGGATGAGAATCACCCTGTACACAAGTCCTAGAAACCCGTTCAACCGTTAGGTTATATTAAGGCCTCTAACGAAAGTCGGGGCCGGGATGTACAATAAGAAAAATATTGAGTGCCATATTGGGACGGAGTTGATATCTACTATGTCACGAGTGATATCATGTTCAACAAGAAACATAATCTTCTCGAATGTGACTTGGGGTCTGGGGGGGGAGAGGGGGGGGGGGGTCGTGGTTGGAAAGGGGGGGGGTGTAAGGGTTGGGGGCCTAACATTTTAACCGTTCGACCAGACCCTCCTCCAACGACTTTAATTAGGTAAAAGTAGTTAGGTATATCGAGAAAGACCTATATTTTAGAGACCAAAAGGCACTTGGTAGGTGATGTGGTCAGCATTACGTCAGCCGCCTTTACTTCCCAGGACTGTACCTGGTAACCACTCAAAGTTGGGTGGACCCGGAAGCCAAAGTCATTTTTTGAAAAAATCCGGCTCTTATCAGGAACCGAACCCACAACCTTCAGGTCGGCCGGCAAGCATCTAGCCGCCAGACCACAGTGGCTCCCTCTAATTAGGTAGACTTCGAAGAAAACAGCTTTTAAGTGGAAAGTCGCTAACTAAATTAACTCCAAGAAATGTAACTACGGCGTGTTAATACTATCAAAGTTATCTGCCCTTGTGACACCCTTAATCTAACAAGGAAGGCGATCAATCTCTCGTCACTGGAAATGTCGAGTCCATTTTAGATAAGGCATGATAAAAGCACGCCTGTCACAAGGGGGGAACGAATCTCCGTAGTCGTCACTGGTCGACGGACATTACAAGTATATCCCTTGCGATAGCCGATTGTGATGTTGACATTTTCAAAGTGTAACTGTGTTGCCAGCATTCTGTCGGCCACTAGGTCATCTGCCGTCTCCGCATTGACCGTTAGCTACAACTTATTTCCGACACTGTTCTCATGAGCTCATCTTGTTTATATTGTCTCAGTCATGAAAATGGAGTAAAGCAAAGGGCCCTTTCCACGCCTTCACGCCTTGGGCATATAGGGCTAGCTATAAAGGCCAATCGGCACTCGTTGAGTAAAGAGACATGGACAATGAACAAACAACTGGAAAATCGATTCTTTGGAGATGTTGATATACAGAAGATTAGGTCGTATTTCAGGGAAACAAAAGCTATCAAATACAGAGGTACTGAGGAAATTGGGAATGAAAAGAGAGTTGCTAGGTGAAATAAAAAAAGACAAGTGAAATATTTTGCCACATTAAAAGACATAACAGTATTGTGAAGATCATCCTAGAGGGAAAGGTTCAAGGTAGGCGAGCAAGAGGCAGACCGCGTTACAAGTGGGAGGATAACATCAAGAGATGGACGAACAGCAGTATGAGTGCGTGTACATCAAGGGCAGGAGACAGGGTTTGTTGGAGATCCATTGCAGCCAACCTTCATTGTGGAGACGGCACCTGATTGATCGACTGAGTAAAGTGGTTAGCACCACGCCGGCGGCTTTTACTTCCCAGTATTAGTGGATAATTAGGAATCTCTTGACACTAACACGATTCTGTGACATGGTAGTAAATCGAGGTCGAGATAGGAGATATTCTAACCAACCTCTCATAGGAACAATTGGTAGAAACATCTTGAAGTGGCTGCTGCCTCGGAGGACAAAGCACGCATGGGAATGCCAAATGTGAAGTGATGTCGATTGGGATAACATAACATTCCCAGGATTCTGCCCGGTACATAACATTGTAAGGGGACAAAGGGACATTAGGGGTAATAGTTCACATGTTTTTATGGGGACAAGTATGTTGTTTATTTATTTACCGATCAGCACACTGATGATGATGAAGATAACAATGTGCTGAGTGGCAATTAAATATAATAATTTATCAGGCATAACATAACAGTATTAGCACATTCTTAGAAAGCTATTGTCTATAAATGGTTAAAGGGAGCATGCTATGGAGCTTACTCCCTCTCTTCCCCCCCCCCAACATGCTAAGGCACCACCTTTACGTTTGTTTAGTTTTTTTTTTTTTTCGAGGGGGCCAAATTTTGTTACAGGTGTGTGTGTGGGGGGGGGGGGGGGGGTTCGGGGGTGGTGGAGGTTTAAGGGAAGGAGTCTGAATCCCTCCACCCCCATCCCACACCCAATTTGTCTCTTATGTGGCGATGAAGGAGCCTCGAGGGAAGAGGGAGGTTAGGTTCCTCTTCCAGTGTTTTCTTAATTCAGTGGTGTGCCTAGACAGCATAAAAGGCTGGGCCTCTTAATATTTTCTATGTGGCGGCGCGTCTGCTAAAAAAAAATATGTCCGACCACGGATATACAACTAGGTAGATATAACACTAGAGATTCTTCATCGTGTACACTTTCATGTTTTTTTTTTTTTTTTTGGGCACCTTTCCGTCTGACTAGTGTTCTATTGTGCTATGGCCAGACACGAGAATCACACCGTATGGCGTTATCAGTTAAGGCCTTGGATAAAGTTCTTTCTCTCCATGGCACAAAGCCTGGCCAGTATTGTATGAGTGTATGTTCTCTGATGTAGTGCAAATATACATACACATTTTAATTGTGTCAGAATGCACGATCGCAATTCCTGTTGAGCATAAGCGTGGTCTACCACACAACACTGTATGTACAAAGAGACAACAATAGCTACAAGTGGAATTTCATTTCCGTGCCAGCAGTGATGTTTACGAAGGTAAGAGGCTGCACTCTCCAACACCGACTCTCCGACTGACTAGTCTATTCTCATCCAAGGCCACCCAGGCCGCTACGTTTCTAGGCCAATGGTTCTCAAAGTGTGTTGTTTGGTACACCTGCTGGACAAAGCGCAGAAATCTTACATCTAAGATTTAAAATTCAATTGAAAAAAAAAAAATTTAGCAGAATGGCAAGAAACCTGGTTAGCATTTCCGAAGCCACCTAGGAAACACACACTCGCGCGCACATACACAGACACACACGCAGACACACTTATAACTGATCGTTGCGGTTAAAAAGCTTTCATTAGCATTTAACATCAAAAACACAGCTATAAAGATATCATTATCTTCGTTTGGGGATATGCAGGTGTTGTTGACAATGAAACAATCAGACAGATTAGTGGCTCTACCATACTTGCAGATGGCTGGCCTAAGGTTCACCCCGACGATGTTAATGCCCTTTAAGATGGAGGACCATCAGAGGATTTTTGGCTTGGAATGCGAAAATTTGGAGTAAAGAGTTGCATAACAGGTTACGACAACACACAAGACGTACATAATGTCTGGTTAGCCAGCATAGATAGAATTGACTCTGTTTGCCACAGTGTGTTAATGTATGTATTGATCGGGGAATCTGAGCACCGATGAACGTGTCCGGAGTGCTGTGATAATAGCGTAACTTATATAAGTCACAAAGTCATACAAATACTTAGCAACCACACACAAGTGACTTGGCTGTTTGAAGGTGAAATGTACAGTTGCACCTGAGCAAGCACACACACAGAACATGGCTAATATGCGCCCCAATTAGATAGACAGAAAGATAAACGAGTGGGTGCCCTTAGAGAGAGAGAGAGAGAGAGAGAGAGAGAGAGAGAGAGAGAGAGAGAGGGGGGGGGGGAGAGAGAAGATATGAATGTGCCACCTAGGGCTGTTAGACATGAACATTTGATGCATGGCGCAAGAGTTTCGATGCATTAAGACAGAAATGGTGTGATTACTTGCGGGAGTAGCGAGAAGGAGAGCAGACCACCCATGGATCTGTCCGGAGTGTTGCAAGATAGTCTTCACTTCCCACAGATAAGGGCGGCATCTTTCCGTCCATGGTGATGGCCAAAGTAGACGAAGCTTCTCCTCTCCACAGCGCACAGCCTAGGCAGTGTTGTAGAGACCATGCAACATCGATCATTCTCTCAGCCTTCCTTGTTTACTCCATAAGAAAGGTAACACCAGTTCGTTTACAATAAGGCACGCAGAAGCTAGTGGATCAGAAGAGCATTGTTCTGTCTGTTCCTTGTCGGAGCTAGCTTCTTAGACCAGCTGATAGCCAAGGTTGCTTTTAGTTTGCATTTTTTTCATTCTAAGACAAGGCTAGTATCCGTCGGGAAACCGTTGGCACAATATTGAATTCCAGGTTTGGCAAACACCCCGCAACATTCGGCGTTTACAGAAAACGGGTATTATTGACTAGTGTTACAACGTTAGCTCAGTCATACCTGAAAGACCTGACTGAAAGTAAACCACACATATATTAATGACGTAACTGAACAAGGTAGTTGTGATGCGCAACACTCATAGCCCATAACCCGAAGTGTTCAGTTGTATAATATCAGGTTTGTTCCTTCCTGTCTGCCATGTCCGCCGTCACCAGACACTGAACTCAACAAAACAACAATGCCCGTGTCTTCATTTTCGGTACGATCCAGTTATATTTCCGATTAGGATCCATATTTCCTCTTTCCCCCTGTATTTTATTGTAATGTCAATGTTAGTTTTCTGCCCGAGTCGTTAATATCAGCAACCTGATATATATAAGAATTCCATGACTCTTTGTGTCCCAGACGGTTTGCATCACAGGCCCAAGGGGTACTTAAGAGAGACGTAAAATCGGCGCATCATGCGTTCAATGGGCTTCTAGGTAGTAACCTATGAACATATGATGCGTTCCTTGTGATTTAAAGAGTTAAAGTTGTATGCATCCTATCCTGATAAATGTCAGTATTCTTTTTCTTTGTTGATCGGCTGTAAGCTCCGGCGGAAAGTCCTGGTTGTTCGCCTATTTGGACATTGGCTTTGTTCCTTGCCACTTCGGCTGGTGCACTCCTACTTTGAAGGAAGCCCTAAATTAGTCGACTACTACGACATGCTTGCTGTAGAGGCAGTGGGTCTATTCTTGTTTCCCCCACAACAGGGCCCCAGAAACCACAAGGGGAATATATGGAAGTGAATCATGGATAATTGACACAATAGTGTAAAATGACTTGTAAGCTGTCGAGATGTGGTTTTATAGACGAATGAGGAGATTATCCTAGACAGATAACAAGAATAAAGATGTCTTGAAAGAAACTGACTTACGAAAAAAACTGATTGCCCACATCAGAAGGAGATATTCTTATTCTGACACACCATGATAAGGAGACAACTGGAGTACATCGTAAAAATAGGAAAGTTAGAAGAAAAGAGATGCAGCGGGAGGCCGAGAGAGAACATGCTCGTTACTCTGACATCATGGCATGGAAGATCACCTACGTTAGATTTGACTGACAGTAAACAAGACAGAATGTTGTGAATTGACATGACTAGCAGCACCATACGGCATGGACTAAAAGAATAAGAAGATTCATGTTCATTGCCTCTTCCACTCCTCGAATCTGTCTATCACTCACATAATTTAGTTCTTTGTTAAACGACAGTTTAAAGTCTAGAGTGTCAGTTATGGGGTGTTAGTTATTGGTAGTACCTTTGGTTGTGGAGCCTGTCATGTCCTTTTTAGGACAGCTTGATAACCTTTGGTCCAAAACTGACACTTAGCTCTCACCTGTGGCTCCACGTAGTTGTCAGCATTTGACAGCGGCCACCCCCCTCCCCCCCCCCCCGGGCAAGGGTGAGGGAAGCTGATGCTCCTTTTCTATCGGTGAGTTAGGATCTGCCTTTCCAAGCATGCAAAGACTACTGTCGGCAGAATGCGCAGAGGAAACCATATTTGGTTTAATGGGCAAGACGGCGACACTAACAAAGCGCTGTGGAGCGCGTAGAGAGCATGGCGAGGCACGTAGAACGCCCTAGTCATTCACTGGACATATCTCCGGTCGTCCTGACTCTGTCTCGCCACTGGACCCAGATATGACTTAGGCGAGAGAGTGAGGTCGACGACACTGGGCAACTCTTCCTCACTTTAATCCAAGTCACCGCGCAAGACACTCTTTCATCACCATGTAATTATCAGAGGCGAGCATAAGCCTGGCCGCCAATATCACTGTCAAACTTGAAACTTGAGCCAGAATGGCACCTAATATTTATCCCGTCTACTGTTTAACCTTTGTGAGGCTGTCGCTAAAAATGTACAACCAGTCAGTCATTTTCTGTTTTCTTGTATACATGTATGTATCTACACCTGTGTGAATGTCTTTGCATGTATCTCATGCTTGATGTAAAAGAGTGGTCATCATCATCTTGATGGACAACACACACATAAGTAGGCATGTACATTTTCATATAAGTGTTCATTGTATAGCATCTGTGTATATCTAAATGTATGCATTTACCATCCATGCATTTAAAAAAAACTTACTAGTCATATTTTGTATATCATTTAATGAGCATGACATGTTTTACAGGTAAAGTACAATTGCTGCTTGAAAGTCGAGTTTATTAAAAGGACGAATGTAGAATTCGCTTGTATACCAATTTGTGACCTTTTGAAAATAGTTCTTTCTTTCATTCTGTCTATTTCTCCCTTTCATCTCTCTCTCTCTCTCTCTCTTTCTCTGTCTCTCCCTCTTTCTGCGTCTCTCTCGCTCACTCACACTCTATTTCGCCCATTTTCTTTGCTGTCTGTCTGTCTGTCTGTCTGTCTGTCTGTCTGTCTGTCTGTCTGTCTGTCTGTCTGTCTGTCTGTCTGTCTGTCTGTCTGTATGTCTGTCTGTCTGTCTGTCTGTCTGTCTGTCTGTCTGTCTGTCTGTCTGTCTGTCTGTCTGTCTGTCTGTCTGTCTGTCTGTCTGTCTGTCTGTCTGTCTGTCTGTCTGTCTGTCTGTCTGTCTGTCTGTCTGTCTGTCTGTCTGTCTGTCTGTCTGTCTGTCTGCTGTCTGTCTTTCTGTCTGTCTGTTTGACTGACTCTGTCACTCATTGAATCTCCCAGTCTTACTCCGTCATTGTCTGTTATGTTGTCTACTCTGTACAGAGATACCGACATCGTCTGAAGCCAGACATCTCACAGTCTTACTCCGTCATTGTCTGCTTTGTTGTCTGCCCTGTACAGAGAGAGATACTGACATCGTCTGAAGCCAGACATCCCCCAGTCTCAGTCAGTCATTGTCTGTTATGTTGTCCACTCTGTACAGAGATACCCACATCGTCTGAAGCCAGACATCCCCCAGTCTCAGTCAGTCATTGTCTGTTATGTTGTCCACTCTGTACAGAGATACCGACATCGTCTGAAGCCAGACATCCCCCAGTCTTACTCCGTCATTGTTTGTTATGTTGTCTACTCTGTACAGAGATACCCACATCGTCTGAAGCCAGACATCCCCCAGTCTCAGTCAGTCATTGTCTGTTATGTTGTCTGCCCTGAACAGAGATACCGACATCGTCTGAAGCCAGACATCCCCCAGTCTCAGTCAGTCATTGTCTGTCATGTTGTCTGCTTTGTACAGAGATACCGACATCGCCTGAAGCCAGACATCCCCCAGTCTGTGAAGACTTGTGTTTACGATGACCATTCCAACGACAGGACAGGAGCAGTTGTCTTCCCCTTGTTTACCAAAGATTTATATGTAAGTTTCCCTTCTTTACGAGTTATTTATATGTGTATTGTTCTGTTATCCAAAGCTCGTAACGTTGGATCTGTATGTAGGTTTCCAAGCTTACCAAAAAACCTTGTAAGTTGTTAACGGCGAAAAGAATATCTTTTTATATTATAACAAACAGCCAGTCTTTAGCAAGAACGTGATGAAGATATATTACACGCATCGATGTTTGTACAACTAATATCTCTTTACTAGAACACTGAAAACTTGTAATGAGCCATCTAGGACCGGAAAGACATCATCGCTGTCATAAGAGGGAGTAACATTTGTGATTCTTCCAGTATTACGGAACACAAATTCTTCACTCAGTAGCATGCATTACACAGGGAACAGCAATGGGAGCAGCGAGACAGGAAAACCATGCGGTAGCCACCCGTCGTTGCATCTGCCAGAACAGAGTCGTTTGCCAAAAAACACTTGGAGACATACACGGGAGAAGACTGGAACCCTCATGGACTTATTCGATGTGCTCTGAAGATTATCTTTAAGTAAGTAAATTTTGCTCCACCTGGACATCACACAGAGCGATAAACGCCCGGTGACACAAAGCGCCACCATGTGGATGAGGTCACAGAAATCCCGTTCACCTGTTTGGTTATATTACGGCCCCCGGCACATGCCAGGAAGGGGGTTGTAAAAAAAAACGAAAAATTGCGCCACACATGGAGGCGACATTAGTATTAATCAATGATCAATGAACAGTAAATAGCGGACGATGAAAACACGTGTACTATTGAAGTTTTTGTAAATAGTCAACCTCGTCATCATTTATCAGCACGACCTAAGAAAAGATCTCTTTGCATACGGCACGTCCAACAGCCTCCCTTAATCTAGCCAGTTCTGCATCTTTTAGAGCCAATGTTTCTTCAGTGTCTAGTAAGGCTTCGTTTTAGAGTTTCTACGTATATAAATAATATGGTACTCTCCCCAATTTTCTTAAAAACGTGCATTTGATTTAGGACCATTGTTGTCGTCACATGTTTCTGCACAGAAACCTAGCTTTAAACCTCTCTGCAATCCTTTTCTAATTTGTGTCTCTAATCGCTTTCTAATTTTCCACATCCATACAATGTGATCCACTGTACTCTGTTCCCATGAATCCGTCACAATACCTGTATCCTTCATGTCCCGCTTGCACAAATCTTCAAGTCGTAGTTTAGGCATATTCTACCGATCTGTAATTCATCATAGATGATGTGCTTTGGGACTCTTCCATTCTTTATTCCTTAATGTGCCCTAGCCATCTAAGCCCTGAAAGACTGAGCACTGAGAAAACTGTTGTCACACGCCTCATCCCAGTACCTCAGTGACTGTTATCTTGTCTTCGTCTGAGCACTGGGAAAACTGTTATAACACGTCTAATCCAAGTACCTCAGTGTTTATTTGTCTTCGTCTGAGCACTGAGAAAACTGTTATAACACGTCTCATCCAAGTACCCCAGTGTTTGTTATCTTGTCTTTGTCTGGGCACTGGGAAAACTATTGTAACACGTCTCATCCCAGTACCCCAGTGTTTGTTATCCTGTCTTTGTCTGGGCACTGGGAAAACTATTGTAACACGTCTCATCCAAGTACCCCAGTGTTTGTTATCTTGTCTTTGTCTGGGCACTGGGAAAACTATTGTAACACGTTTCATCGCAGTACCTCAGTGTTTGTCATCTTGTCTTTGTCTGGGCACTGGGAAAACTTTTGTAACATGTCTCATCGCAGTACCTCAGTGTTTGTTATCTTGTCTTCCACCTCATGTCAAATATTCTGGGTAGGCATCGCACAGGACGGCTGTATCGCCGTTGATTCTGGTCTAGAAAGTTGGCTAAGTTTCACTTCCATGTAGAAGAGTGCGGAGAAACCAAGCTTGATATGCAGGAGTGTTTTTGTTGTCACCGTGAACTTTCTGTTTTCACAAACTCTTTTTGTTAATTGCTATCATTGCAATTGCTTCCTCACCTATCCTGGTATTGAGTTCTTGGTCCACTGTTAGTTCGGTATTGACTGAGGATCCAGTGTTGGCTGTTGCCTGGTATACAATTTTAAAAAATTATCTGTGTAATTACCATCAGTCTACTTGTATGTATGCCAATCAATCATGACTAATTGCTGGGCCCACTGAGGCTGTAACCGTACCTGTGTCTGCAGCTCTCAGTGTTTCCTGCTCCTCTTAACGCCACAGACAGGAGGATTGACGACGACAAGGAGGCAGACCCGGGTCAGTTCATGAAGATCTTGTGTCCACTAGGATCCGGGAGGCTGGGCAAGGTAGGCGCGTCTCATTTTTGCCCCCCCCCCCCCCCCCCACACACAGAATCGGAAATATAATTGTTTTCCTTTTGTTTTTCTCTTTCGTTCGATTGAAATAGATGATCTATATCTGCAATGGCAGCCGCCGTGATCTAGCGGCTAGTCGCTCGCCTGCGGATCAGAAGGTCGTGGGGTTCGGTTCCTGACGGCGGCCGGACTTTTCTTCAAAAATGACATTGGCTCTCAAGTCGACCCAGCCTTGAGTAGGTACCAGGTACAGTTTAAGGAAGTAGCGCCGGCCGGCGGCGTGATACTGACCACATCACCCACCAAGTGCCGTTTGATCGATAAAATATGGGGCTAGCCCTATATGCCCCATACGTCTGAAGGAGTGGAAAAGGGTCTTTTACTTTTACTAATGTATGTCTCCAGTGTCGTCTCTAGTATGAGTGAGACTTGTCTCATTGTTGGTATCTGTTCCCAGACGACAGAGTTCGTTCTGATGGGCGCTAGGAAGGCACGTAACCACACTTAAGGGCCAACATAAGGGTGTACCAATAGTTTCACCATCTTATCTGTCCAGTCTATTGGTGTTGTCTTGGCTGATTGTACTTTGTTAGGGCTGTATTTGAGGTTCTAGTTGACTTGCAGAGGATTGCGCCACCACCACCTCCTCTCTCCCCTTCCTCCACCCCTCTTGCCTACTCAACAGTGTGCAAAGAGACATAACTACACTAGTTAAGGCATGTTTGGGTAAACTGCCGTGACACAAGTACACTTCTTGAGTGGGGTCATAATCAATGTGTGATTGTGATACATTAGTACAGTACGTGTCAGCAGTAAACAACGTTAATGAAAATACTGGAATAATGTATACATCGGCAAATAATTATTCTCAAGAGAAGAAAAAAATTCAGTTGCGTATATATATATATATATATATATATATATATATATATATATATATATATATATATATATATATATATATATGGACATATATGTGTGCGTGTCTATATATATATATATATATATATATATATATATATATATATATATATATATGTGTGTGTGTGTGATTTGATTTGATTCAAGAACCGACATCACAGCACTCGGGACATTCCCAGAAGCGCTTCGTCCCCATCTTCAGCAGCCAGCGAAGAGTTCCGATACTAATTGTGCCAGTAGCTTTCTGATTAAACGTCCGTCTTGCCTGTCCTCTGAGCCTCGAGCTATTAAATATATTAGGGCTGTACCGAGTAGCGATTTTCACTATTCGGCCGAATACGAATAGCTGGACCAATTATTCGGCCGAATACGAATAGTGAATCATCATCAGCAGGTACAATGCCGACTGGTATGGAAGATTATGCCTCGCAACAATCTGCGATCTCCTGAGTTCGTGTGCTGACACACATCCATGTCATGCAACAAGACTGTCAAGAATCTTCTCTCGTTGTCTTCCTCTATCCCTGCTTCCACATATCTTTCCAGTGGTCACCACATGTTGCATTTTCCCTCATCTTATAACATGCCCGAAAAATAATGACTGTCTCCTTCTGATGTCTGTGAGTAGTTGTCTTCGGGCTCATGCCTCTCTGAAAACTTGGCTGCTTTTTTTTCCCCCTGTTAAATGTATTTTAAGCATTGTTCTGTAAAACTACATCTCTGAAGACTCAAGAAATTGTTTACCCTGCCTATCGATTGTCCATGACTCACAGCCATATGTTGAAACTGGGTGTATGCAGCACGTAAGAATTCTTTTTCTAACCTCCAATGACAAAGATATATTGCATAAGATGTTTTTATTTTTATAAAATGCAGTTATTGTCTGTCCTATTCTGTTTCTTATTTCAGTAATGCATCTTCCATCTGATGTTTTCCATGTGCTTAAATACTTAAATTTCTGTACTTGTCCCAAAATAAAACCATTGACTTTAATTACACCTTTAGGAATAATTATTTTCATTGATACCACCATTACTTCTGTCTTTCCATTATTCAAAATGAGGCCCATTCTTCCACTCTCGAATAGTGTATAAAATAGATCTAAAATAAAAGCACCCATAATGTCAAATCTACGCTGAAATTTTACTTCACAAAATGTAGTACAGAATAGTAAACATTTAAAAACATTTCATGTTTTGCATCCTTCACTCAGTCAGTCTGTGGTAACTAATACCTAGGAATGAAAGTATTCTTAGTTTTACAACAAGTAACTAAACTTGTAAATTGTCACTGGCAGCTTAGTTAATCCATGAAAGCGGCATTAGCTTAAAAAAAAAAACCTTTGTTCCATGTTGTCAGCATTAAGGCAGCTTCTTGTCTCACTGAAGGTATTTCCAGCTGTACTGAACAGACGTTCACTTGGTACGCTCGTAGGTGGTGCACAAAGATAACGCTTGACAGTATGAACCAAGGTGGGAAATCTTGATATGTTTATTTTCCACCAGTCCAGAAACGGGTGTAAGGTAACCACTATTCGTATTCGGCCCGACCGCAACTATTCGGCCGAATAACGAATAGTTATTAGGTCCACTATTCGGCCCCGAAAGCGAATCCGAAGCGAATATTCGGTACAGCCCTAATATATATATATATATATATATATATATATATATATATATATATATATATACATATATATAGACACACACATACACACACATGTGTCCACATGCGCATACATAAA